TTTGGATTACAATGGAACAAGGAATGATTAATGAGGGGTAAAAAAGCATAATCTTAACACGTTCCCTAGGTTAACAAGGAAAGGAATTGCAAAATGTAATACATAAATGGGTCAAATAAAATGCGTATCAGGGAATCCATAGAGGAATTGTAAAAAATAAGCTGGTTGTGGGGGTGTGATGATACCATGCAGAACGGAATAGCAAGTAGTTATGTTTAAATATTGTAGCAAATAACAAACGGACTGCTCACCTGTCTGCGTAGCTTTAGGTGCATCATTGTGGGTCATAATTCCAAGTAATCTAGATAGCCAGAATTAGTCCATAGCATCCGTTCACGTAACAAAATGTAACGTGTTCAATTCGGCATCCAATCGGTTTTTGAATGTGGCTAATGGGCGGGGACACAGACAACTGTTTGGTAAGGCATTCCAGGATTGGGAGACCCAGAAAAAGAAATAAGTTCATCGACAGTCGGGACGATTGTGTCGTTGACTCAGTTTAGGTTATTGCTTCTGAGGTTGGTGTTTGGGCTGAGTTTCAGTAGGTGGCGGCATACGTGACTGGGGTCACTCAGTATTTGGCAAACTAATCTTAGGTCTTCACGTAGACATCTGTTAGGGAAACAAAGAAAGCGAGTATGTGATCTACCGCCGCCTTTTAGAAATAGGACTCAATCGTACATTGAATGCAACCGATTGCGCGGAATCCCTGCCGCTGCGACACTGTAAGGTTGCTTTCAAGGAGTTCCATGAGCGCCTCGGCGATTATACCTTCCAATTCTTTGGTCAACACCGGAGGAAAAGTGTTTGGACGGTAGTTTGAGAGCACCGCAGGATTTTCTGTTATAAAATGGTGTGTTTATTCCATGTTTCCACATGGTGGAAACCAGTATTTCATCAAGACATCATTGAAAGAACCGAGCTAATGGTTCGACAATGTTGTTGGTGGCTGTCCTCAATGTCTTCGATCTGATGTCTGCGCCAGGAGAGCTGTGCAATCGCAAGGACAATAGTCTTTTCATCCCATTTGCTGCCCTGAAGAATAAGTGGTTTAAACCTGGGTGCTATGAGAGCTGTATCAAATGCGGGTGTGATGTTGATTCACTCTGGAAAGTGCGGGTGAAGTATTGGCGAAGCACGTTGGCCGCATCTTGTGTAGTTTATGCCAGACCATCTGTTTTGTGTAGGACTGGGATCCCGCGCTGCGATTTGCGGTCTACGCCTTTCCGCAGACAACGCTAGACTACGCCAACCTCTTATCCCACTACTCCAAGTTAGTTCAGCCAATGGACGCAGCCCTGCGCGTGGCATACCAAGTCACGCACCACATACGGACGAATGGCCCACCCGTCTCATGCCGTCCACGCCGACTATCTTCAGAAAAACTTAAGGTAGCTAGGGCAGACTTTGAGCACATGATCGAACTTAGAATAATCCGCCCTTCCGACAGCCCTTGGTCCTCTCCTCTGCGGTTGGTCCCCAAGAAATCTGCTGACTGGCGCCCTTGCGGTGATTACCGCGCACTCAACGGGCAAATCGCTCCAGAAAGGTATCACATCCCCTATATGCAGTACCTCACCGCATACCTCACAGGTAAGACGATCTTCAGCAAGATCGATCTGGTTCGCGCCTATCACCAGATACCTGTAGAAGCAAATGACATTCCTAAAACAGCCGTCATCACTCCTTTCGGCTTGTTTGAATTTTTACGAATGCGTTTCCGATTGTGCAACGCCGTACAAACTTTCCAACGCTTTATACACCATGTCACCAGTGCCCTAGACTTCGCTTATTCCTACCTTGATGATATTTTAGCAATCAGTTCTTCGGAACAAGAGCACCTCGACCACCTTCGAGCTCTCCTCCAGCGTTTGATCCATCACGTTGTCACAGTCAACCCGACAAAGTACGAATTCAGCAACTTAACGGTAAAATTCATAGGCCGCATCGTTTCATCGTCTGGAATGGAAGTCCTTCATGATAAGATCCAGGCTATTAAGGGATTCCCAGCTCCGACCTCATTCAAGCAACTTCGTCGATTTTGTGGTTTGGTCAACTACTAGCAACGCTTCATTACGCGCAGCGCTCAGCTCATGCAGCATCTGACTGACCTACTCAGAGGGAATAAAGTTAAGTCAGTACTCCTAGACAGCACAGAGAGTCTTCACCAATATCTAGGATACTATCTCCAAAATAGCACTCCTCGCCCATTCCGAATCGATTGCACCCCTTACTATCACGACTGATGCCTCAGATGTCGCGGTAGGAGCTGTTCTCCAACAACAGGTTGGTGGGCAATGGCAAGTCCTCGGTTACTTCTTTAAACGCCCGCAGCCAGCCGAATCCCACTACAGAATGTTTGGAAGTAAACTGCTCGCTATCTACCTAGCCATTCGTCACTTCCGACACGCAATCAAAGGCCACGCTTTCACGGTCCACACTGACCATAAGCCCCTAATCTTCGCCTTCAACTCTACCTCCGACAAGTAAGCACCAGGGAAAACAAGACACCTAGATTTTGTCACGCATTCACTGCTGACATACGTCATGTCTCGGATGTCAACAATCCCGTCGCCGACGCTCTCGCACGCGTCAATCTCACTCTCCAGTCTTTGCCTGACATCGACCTTGCCACCATGGCATCGGCTCACGCTCGAGATGAAGACATACAACGCACTCTGCAGTCCACTTCGCTTCATGTGCAATCTGTTCCTCTCCAAACCACGGACGGAACCATTCTCTGTGACACTGTCATAGGTTGTCCTAAGCCCCTCGTGCCCATCTCCTTCAGACGCACAGTGTTTGACGCACTGCACTCATTATCACATCCCGGTATCCGTGCATCTTTGAAACTGGTCACCACGCGTAAGCGATGCTGTTCATTCCTTGGCTGGCGCCTGCCTTCAATGTCAATGCTCTAAAACACATCGGCACACCTGCTGTTCTCTTGCTTCATTTCCCTTCCCGGATACCCGGTTCTCGCATGTACACTTAGATCTAGTTGGTCCCTTGCCTTCTTCAGGCTGATTCATGTATACCCTTACACGTATCGACCGCTCCAACAGATGGCCAGAAGCCATTCCCGTAACAAACTATACAGTCAAGAGCGGTTGCTCTCACACTACGGATGCCCATTTTCCGTCACAACTGACTGAGTAACGCCCTTCGAAGCTTCACACTTCGATACCTTCTGCAACTTTTTAGGCTGCCGCCGCATTCATATCACAGCGTAGCACCCAGCAGCCAACGGTTTAGTTGAACGCTTTCATAGACAGCTTAAAGCCTCGCTCTGCGCCTCCTCCGACCCTAGCTGGAGCGAAAGCTTTTCGCTCGTACTCTTAGGCATTCGCAGCAGCAGCAAAGCTGACTTGCAACGTGTACCAGCAGAGCCGGTTTACGGCACAACACAACTTGCCAGGAGAATTCGTTTCACCTCCTGCATCGTCGGGTTTGCCTCTGGTTAAATTTATGTCCTCCCTTGCTCAGCGTATGCCTTCACTACGCTCGACCCCGTCGACTTGATTGTCGACGAAACGTTTTCTCCCTCCGTGTGTCCCTTGCCTGGAATACGCTTCCGACTCACGTATCCTTGCCCCTACATTAACACTATTCATAAAACGCCTTGATGAAACGCTTTCAAACTTGCATTGCTTGATGTAGTCCGTTCCACTTGGAGGACGAAACACCGCAAACCTAACCATCTGCTTAAGGCCCTCTCCGCAACTTCGTGGTGAGGATACAAGCAGTAGTGTCCATGTGATTAGCCTGAATGTAGCTAAACTGGATTAACATATCACATCTGTCAAATGAAGAAACAAACGAGTGAGCGTTGTTGTTTACATTTTTATTTCTCACGCACTTACTGAACTGTAACAGCTCTCTACATTATTTTGCCTGTGCACATCCCATTCCCACTTCAAACTATCGTTATGCAGTAGTGCATTTAACTCGGCGGACGCTTGGAATAACGATTTAATTATTCCATGATCCTTCAAATTTTTAATTTGTACTCCATCCATCCTACTGGACTTGTCAAGCGCATGCTTGTCCACACCGGAGATGTGCAAATACACAGCGGACTGTCTACGTGCACTAACGTCTAATTCCGCACTGATGCAGCACGGCACCCCCTCCAGCCTACCTACACTGGCCCTTACAGAGTATTGTAACGAACTCCGAAGCATTTCAGTTTACACCAGAATGATCACCGAACAACAGTGTTCATTGACCGCATCAAAGTGGATATTTTTTGACAAACCACTTGCAACCCATCCTGATGCTATCACACAAACACCCGCACCTGCATTGAATTCTCGAGCACTGGATACCCCGAAATCCTCCGTTCCCTTTGACGATGATGACTCTCTGGAGCTCTGCAATGACAAATTGCAGTGTGACATCCGGGTCTCTCTCCAACAACCCGAGTATTCTGGTGCAGATCTCGGCATCCTTTGGAGATTACAGGCTGCATACCAGTAGCGGACGCTCAAATTGGTCTTCAGTA